CGAGTGCCCCGGGCCTGGGTGAGGAGGATGGGCAGGCTGCGGGCTACCTGAAAGGCTCCCACCGCTGGAATAAAACCTCCCGATGGCGAGATTAGAGGGCAGGGAAAGGGCTCACCGGCTGCACACCCCTGGGGCTGACGGGCAGAACGATCGCCGGCACCTGCCGAGGTGCCCGAGCGCCGTGCGATCGCGGGCGCGTAACGCGCGTGTGCCTGCTCCAGCCCACCCCACCGCTGGCTGAATTACTCTCGTTTCATTCCGAAACGTACCGAAACGTACCAAGCAGGGTCTCGGGGTCTTCTCTGGGGAGGGACGCTCATTTCTTCCTCATCTCCTCCGAAGAAAGCTCCCCCAAACCTGCCAGTTCGCAGCGTCTTCCCTGGAGCAGCTCCACCTGCCTCTGGTTTCATAGTCTGGTGATGGGAAACAGATTTAGTAACAAGTCGTTGAAAATAACCCCCAAACCCCAGAAAAAGAAGCACGTGGCAGCACTATAACCTTGGAAACTTTAATTAGTGATATTAACCCAAAGTAACCAACTCTTACAGGCAGGCAGAATTTCCCTGCAGGAACAGGGACGGAAAAGCAACACGTGGTACATCCCACAGTACCAAGGCGGCCAAAATCCCACCGTCTGTTAAAAAGGGACAAGGACAACCTTCACCCCTGCACCGGGACAGCATTTCTCACAAGAACAGTTACGTATGAAGTCGCTGTGCCCATCAAAACCCTGATACAAAGCTCAGTGAGATCCAGGAACGACTTTTTGGGGTTTTTTGGATGAGGCCGACCAAAAGCGCGGTTTAACCGACCAACGGGGTCTCTGTAACACCAACCAGCTTTTCCCATGTTCTTGCCTAATGCTGGCAGGGAACGTCTTGCTGCACTCGCAATCTCTGGAGAACACTGCCTTTTCCTCATTAGCTTTTTGCACAGCAATTAATCCCCTTAATCAGTCAAATCAGTTCGACGCTAGATCACAAAAGCACTAGGAAAAGAGAAAACAAGAAATTACCTTGTTAACTTTAATGAGCAAGGAAAAACATACACTGCGTGGGCTGGAGCAGTGCTCCACGCTGTTAACTGTGTTAAATGCCCACCACACCGAGGATCCGCTTCCTTCACGTCATCCTGTGCTGCACGCCGAAGAAATCGAGTTCTCCGCAAAGGCAACGCCATGCTGACAGCGTCATACACGCGACAGAGCCCGGCACAGCGGCTTCGCACACCAGAGGAGCTTCTGACCTCTGCTCTTTGGTTCCAAGAGGAAAAAAAATTATTTAGGCTCCCCACCTTTTCCTTTAAGTGTGTGTGACTTCTGCCAGTTTCTTC